GGATATTTTTTGTTTGTGAAAATTACTTTTACTACATTTAGTTTGTTAGTCTGCTATATTATTATTGCCCCGCTTCCCCGTGTGGGTTCCGGGGCCCTTTATAGGGACAACAAGATAGACCCACTGCTTACCTAAAAGCATGTCGTAGGAGTGAACTAACTGGAAGCTTCCTTTTAAAGTCAGAGTGCATCTGCCTTAGAGGCAAGGAACCAACAGTCTGTATACAAATTAGTCAGATCTATCAAACGGATGCACATGCAACACTCAGGTTCTGGAACAGGATTGCAGTCCAGAAGTGGATGAACAGCTAGAACTTTCCACCAGAGTTTACTGCTGGTGAACGCAAAAAAAGAAGAAGATTTTCCCATGTCATGAAACATAAGTATGTGTACAACTATTACATTAATGAGCCAGTCATTTCTGGGAGTCTTCATTTGTAGTCTAGCAAACATTGGCAGCATCTTTTCTTAACACCATTTTACTGTACCTGCAGGAAAGCATGGAACTACTTTTCTACACTTACGTGTGTCGTGCATAATTATATATTAAAATATTTATTAGTCTCATCATTTTATTATTATTATTATTATTATTATTATAAGGGGCTTTAGATGAAAACATTAGAAGTGTGATAGAAATTACAGTAACCTATTGTCGTGTGACCTGTCACTATTGTTGTAAAGGAGGTCAAAAATGTTGAGCACATGACATCAGATTGCAGATGAACATGAAGACCTCATAATGATAGTTTAAAGATAGCCACACCAATTTTGACATGCACCAAAAAGGAGCAGCTTTCTGTTATCCATTGGATTATCAGTGAAGGAGTGAAATTCAACAGTAAACAAAGGTGCAGTATGGTGATGCATGTCTGTGAATGACCATCTTTAAACTGTCATTAGGATATCACCATTTTAGTCTTCACCATGTCATGGGCATTACACTCTTGATAGCAGTACTGACAGGTGACAAGAGAATGGCTTGATTAGTGTAACTAATTAGAAAGATGGGGAGGACATGGGGAGAGCTCCATGCAATGGCGAAGGATAGAATGACTTGGCATGAGTTGGTTGAGGGCTTATGCTCTATTGGGGGATAGAAAGGCAGAAGAAGAAGAAGTGTAACTAATGGCACACCTTTAACCCCCTTGTTCATTAAAAAAAAAATTGCTTATTTAGTGTGTTGTTATTCCTGTATGTTAATTGGATGCTGATTTGATACAATTGAATTGATCACGACAATTTCAGGCCTAATTATTTGTATTACTACTATCAAGAATAACAAGAACCATGACGTATTGGAAAAAATAATAGCAGATAGCTTGGTACCAGGAAGGAGAGGCAGGGGCTGATCAACATGAAGATGGGCACAGGATATAAGTGACTCCTTGAGTATGAAAGTACATGAGGTGGGAGAGCTGGCGAAAGTCCGAGTTTCTTTCAGGCAGACCGTGATGAGGTCTACGTTCTGCCAAGGACCTGCTACATGATGATGACTAATAAACTATAAATATCTGGAGCCAGATTCAGAAAATGTGATGTGTGTGGAAAAATCTTGTGCTGCTATTTGCGCAAGCTGTAAAATTGCCTAGTGAAATCAACCAGCCAACATATTGCTGATGTTGGTTCTACAACGGTGTGTAAAGGATATCCAATATTTTTATCAGAAGCACTCGTTATTGTAGCTCTCTTTACTTTAAGCACTTGTTACTGTAACGCTTTCTATCTCAAGCACATTGTTAATGCAAGTCTCTCTCTTTCTCTGAAACCCTTGTTACTGTAACTCTCTCTCTCTCTCTCTCTCTCTGTCTCTCTGAAGCACTCTTTACTGTAACCGTCTCTTTATTTGAAGCACTTAACGTAACTTTCTCAGTCTGAAGCACACATTACTGTAACTCTGTCTTTATCTGAAGCACACATCTTTCTATCTATCTTCTTTTACCCCACCAGGACATTACACAAGCGATGAACACCCGATGACACAAAGTGCCACCATGTGGATGAGGATCACCCGTGGAGAGGTCCCACCGCGTTCAGCCATTAGACCATATTTATGGCCGGGCTATATTGCAGCCCCTGGCAAGAGCCAGAGTAGGGCTTTAAATAACGAAAAATTGCATCCCACAGGGGAATGACTCGATAAAAAGAAGCACACATTACCGTAACTCTGTCTTTACCTGAAGCACTTGTTACTGCAATTCTCTTCACCATGTCAGAAACCTATCTTTTAAAGACAGCCATGAGAAAATCAAAGAGACAACCCTGTCAGGAATCTACCTGAGAAAATTTCAGTCAACCATCTCAGAAAGCTATATTGAACCTCAAAGAGAGATAACCCTCTTATAAACCCACGAAAGGGATACAACTATGTTTAGAATCTATCTGATAAAAACTCAGACAACCATTTCAGAAAAGTATATTGGAATCTCAAAGAAAGACAACCCTTTTGTGAACCTTAAAGAGAGACACTCTCTTGTGAACCTACCAAAAATCTATCTGATAAAAGCTCAGACAACCCTTTTAGAAAGCTATATTTGGACCTGAAAGAGTGACAGCTCTCTTATAAATCTACCGAAGGGATACAACCATTTCGGGAATCTATCTGATAAAAACTTATACAAACATTTCTGAAAGCTACATTAGAATCTCAAACAGCGTCTAGTTTAAGAATGGAGGTGGAGGCAGTCACTGTAGCATTCTGCTGGCTTGAGAATCAGTTGTACACACATGCCGTGATTTTAACTGACTCATAGAGCATGTTCAGAAAGGTGGAGACGGGTATGCTCCATTCAGAGGCGCAAGCAACATTTCAGAGGTCCTAGGTAGTTAGCATCCTTTGGACATTCTCTCCAGGTCATGCCGATACATACTTGCATTGCTGACTGTTGCAGATAGGCTAAAGCTGCTGCAGGCTAAGTCATACCTCAGAGTAGCTGCAGACAAAAAAACACCCTCTGTATGAAGCTTTGGCTGCAGGTAAGGGTCAGAGGCTGAAAGAGTAAATCGAGGATGGCTTAAACAGAAGACACAATAATACAAGTGTACATGCTGAAGAACATTGGGCGATGAGAGGAATTGATCGAGTACCAGTGGGAAAGTCTGATCTGTGTAGGGTTATGATCATATTGGACCGGGACCACCCACTCACTTAAACAGTCACACGCCCACACACACATCCGCATATATACATACACACAGACACACCTACAGAAACACACGCAGACAAACACACACGCGGATACTCACGCAGACACAGAAACACACTGGTGTATGACAAGCTAGATATTGTGTACCCCCCTGGGAGCGAGCGAACAGTGCGGAGGCGCACATAGATCATTACGGCCTGAGGATAATAGCTCTGCGAGGAGTTGCCAGGGGATCTGGCCGATGCTCAACATATAAGGGAAAGGCGAGACGGATATACCTTCAGACAGTTACTGGTGTCAACGGAATTAAAACTCTTTATTTGCTGCTGAAGATGGGGATGGGGCGCTTATTGGAGTGTCCCGAGTGCTATGATATAGATTCTCATTTCAACATTCAGATCAATAACCATTTTGTGAACCTACCAAAGGCATACAGCCATGTTAAGAATCTATCTGACAAAAACAGAAACAGTCAACTCATAAAGTTATATTGGAACCTCAAAGACAACCTTCTTGTGGACCTCAAAGAGAGACAACCCTCTTGTGAACCTCAGACACAAACTCTTGTGAACTTCAAAAAGAAATAATACTTTTGTGAACCTCAAAGAGAGACACGACTTTTTAAAATCTACCAAAGGGATACAATTACGCCAGGAATCTGATAAAAACTCAGACTAACAATCCAGAAAGCTATACTGGAACTTCAGAAACAACCCCCTTGTGAACCTCAAAGAGACAATGCTCTTATAGATCAAACAAACGGATACAACTATGTAAGGAATCTGAGAAAAACTCAGACAATAAATTCAGAAAGCTATAGTGGAACCTCAGAGACAACCTCTTGTAAACCTCAAAGAGAGACAACCCCTTTGTGAACCTCAAAGAGGGACAATCCTCATATAAACCTCAAAGAGAGACTCTCTCTTGTGAACCTACCAAAGGAATATAAACCATGTCAGGAATCTATTTGATAAAAACTCAGACAATCAATTGAGAAAGTTATTTTTAAAACCTCTATAAATAAACAGGTTCAATTCCCGGCACGGTAACTATAGCTTTCGATTTGTATGTTGTCTAGTGTGTTCTTCAATCTTTCTACTTCTTTCTATGAGTGCCGTGCACAATACTTTCTGTTACTTGATTAATTCATAATATTTAACGGCCTCAAATGGTTTCCCCTCTGTTTATTTATAGGAATGACGTATACACACCGGAACCTACCAATCAAATACCTTTCTTAAATGTTTGTGTGTTCTAGACAAAGCAATAAGGTCTACTGTGTTCGTAAATTGTTGCTGTGATGGTTTTTCGACATTTGCTTCGTTTATATAAATTTCTGTAACCTATGGTGCCATTTCAATGGGTTGAAATTAATTATGTCCGTATTCCATAGTCGTGGATTTCAAGCTGTACGATAGACATGGCCAATAAGACACCTTTTTTTGGGGGTGCCTAGTTGACCATATATCTTAGTACACTTGTATTCATGGCGAGGCGCAGACGCCGTCTGGAGGTGACAGGTTCAATTCCCGGCACGGTAACTATAGCTTTCGATTTTTATGTTGTCTAGTGTGTTCTTCTATCTTTCTACTTCTTTCTATGAGTGCCGTTCAATATACTTTCTGTTACTTTATTAATTTTAAAACCTCAGAGACAACATCTGTGAACCTCAAAGAGAGACAATCCTCTTGCAAACATAAAAGACAGACAACTCTCTTGTGAATCTACTAAAGGGACACAACCGCGACTCTGCGCATTCCGAAAGTCACTTCCCCTGACCCAATCCGTTCCCTTCCATGTTATTTCCCACAATGCAACCACGCATGCGCGCTGGCTCTCTCAATGAAAACACAAGATGAGCAGTAAAATTCCTCGGAAAGGTTCGTATATTCGACCGATTTTTTTCTTTTATCTTCGCATCTACACACATTTTGAGGCTTGGCATTTAAAATACGAATTTTGTTTCAGCTTTAGCGATCCAGGCTCGCAAAAAGAGATCAAAGGCCAAGCCCCGATTGAAACAAGAGGACAAGAAACGAACGTAAGTTATCTTTTTTCTACCCGTCAAGTTGGTTCGCATGCACCGATTTCCCTCTCTTTTAGCACAAATACAAACTTCTTTCCTGGCGAAATCTGTGAAAATTGTGACGTTTATAATAATACAGTTTAATTACATAAGCGACATGATAATTGCAAAGTGAATTTGTCCAAAAGTTTCATTAATGTGGCTGGTGTCACTTGAAATTTGCAAGCGCCCACTGAACTGACACTGCGGTTGTTCCTTCCGTTGTCATGAAAGAAATCGGAATTTAGTTGCAGTGTAATTAGTGTACAAATAAAGTAGTTAAAATTAGTTAAATAATAATTAAACCTCGTTAAATGGTGATGATTAGATTAGTGAAAAGTTCACCTATCTATATGAGAATTTTTAGTGAAGGTATGTGTATTTGTATACTTTCTTGCTAAATTTTTATGAAGTATGTTTGAAGACTTTTTACTGTAAACAATGAAATGCAAAGCGAAAATGCAGTTATTAAAATATCTTTCAATAATAGCTAGTTGCATATCCTATACAGGATGTTGCAGAACAAACTCCAGCATTTTTTTGCTGTTGTGGTTTTTCTTGGCAAATTTTATGTTCAGTGGTTTGCCATTGTCCAACGAAGCGGCCGTTATTGCAAGGAGAGCCAATAGGATTGTGAGAAAGCTACTTAAGAAACATAATGACTTAAAAATAGTTGTGTTTCTATGCAAATACATCATTTTAACGCAAAATGCAGAATAAGACACCATGTGGTACTTTAGAGTTTCTCTGATGTTATCTTTTCATTTTTTCTTGGTCTGCCTCTTGCTCTACATCCCTCTCCTCTTTTGGTATATGCCCTGAATGATATAGCAGATTGCATTCAAGAAATGTAATATGTCATAGTTTTTCTTACATTTTAGAACCTAGGATTGATTTTGGATCTCACTCATCGTCACCTTATAGTCTTTCATCTGCATGACGTTGTTCCAACCACGGCGACATAATTGAACCGGCCTCTTTCCCGTTCCCTTGTCCCATGTATTATTATGTCCCTCATGAAACTTCATCTTTTTTCACCGGCGGAAAGTCCTGGTTGTTCGTTCTTTTGAACTTGGGCTTGTGCCAGGCCTGAGTTTTGCATGTACATCCTTTTTACTGTGTGCAGTTCGTTCTTCCTTGCCGCTCAGGCAGATGTTCTACAGCTCCGAAGGAAGCTCCCAATTGGTCGACTCTTATGACATGCTTGTTAAGGAGGCAGTGGGTCTGTTCTTGTTTTCCCCACAGTGCTGGATCCCACACGGGGAAGTCTAATGCTTGTAAACCCCCCTTCTGCTTACAGGACCTACGCCTTTTGTCTCTGTTATTTCTAAATCAATCCAGCATTTAACATTGCCACAGAATTTCAGTTTCTCAGGCGAGAATTTTCTGTTTCTTTACGCCATATTTCTTTCCATTTTCAGATTTTGTAGAATGGCTGTGTTTTTATATTCCTCAAAGAATTTGTTTCTTCTTTTTTTTCTTCTTCTTCTTCTCCTTCTCTTCCAACTTATACCTCGTTGAAGTGTCGATGGGAGATGTAACATTCGTTGATGAGCTCTGTCAAGAGCACTATTAAGACTGATGTTCATTTCTGTAAAGCTGTTCTAAATGTCATTACTCCATCTTATCCAAGGTCTTCCACTCGCTCTATACCTGTTGTAACGTTTCAATGTGGCTCGCAGATAGTACCAGGGCATTCTTGTTAGGTGTCCAAACCACTTCATTTGTTGTTCTTTGATGACCTGTAAGACTGGCTTTATTCCTAGCATTCGTCTGATTTCGTGATTTTGTATTCTGTATTGGGGAACTCTGCATTAGATGTCTCATTTTTACACAGGAATCTCCATCCTCTGCTTTTGTTATGATTTGTACATATGTGTAATTATGGTGTGATTATAAACATGCCTGTTATACCACAGTCCAGAAACGACTCCAGGTTACCTACCACTGTTTTTAAGACTAGAACAGTGGTCAGAAAACTCTATAGTTGAAAGAGCCAAAAATCAGCAGTAGGACGATTACGATTTTTGTGAGAGCCAAATTTCTTTTTCGAGAACCATGTTTTTCGGAGTCAGAAAACAGTTTGTAGCCGACTGGCCTAGCCACACTCAGGCCGCTGAAGAGCCGCATGCGGCCCATGATTTGTCGGCAACTGGGCTAGACCTATGCAAAACATGTTTAGTGTACTCTGCAGCTCAGTGGCGGAACCATCTTTCACTAGCCACTATACAAATGATCAGAAAATGTTCAGTTATTATCTGAGCACAGTTTACATGCTCCCTTGATGAACAAAGTAATTTAGAAATACCATTCATGACTTTATTACAAGTACTGTTCCACATGTGGGTTCCCCAGCCCCTTCATAGGGAACAAGAAGAATAGACCCACTGCCCTCCCAACAAGCATGTCGTCAGAGTTGACTGATTAGGGGCTTCATTTAAAGTCAGAGTGCATTTGCCTGAGAGGCAAGGAACCAACAGTCTGCACACAAAAAGTCAGATCTGTAAAACAGATGTGCATGTAACACTCAAGTTCTGGAACAAGTCTCAAGTCCAGGGGTGGACGAACAACCAGAAATTTCCACTGGAGTTTACAGCCAGTGAACGTGGAGAAGACAGTTAGGGTGGTTTACTGTAGTTAGACAATATAGGTGTAATTCAAGCATTAAATGATATTACAGAATACTAATGTAGAGCTTTGGGAGAGAACTATGCAAACTCCAGTGGTCCAAAAGGTGAAGAAAAGACGCTGGCATTGGATAGGACACACATTGAGAAAACGGAAAGCAATATAACTAGAATGTCTTTGCATTGGAACCCACAGGGGCATAGGAATAAAGTAAGGCCAAAAAACATGGAGAAGGGAGTTGTAGAATGAAGCTAGACAGATGGGGAGAGCTGCATGCGATAGCAAAGGATAGAACGACTTGGTTGAGTTGTTTGAGGGCTTACGCTCCATTTAATAAAATTATGTATGAAAGGAGGAAGGGCAGATAGTTAGATGGGCCTGCATGCCCAGTTCTTAGAGATTGTTCGTTTTTCTTTCATTTCATACAGTGCTAATTTTTTTCTGGCAGATTCAAAATTAATAAAATTAAGTTTAGGACAGTTCATCAGTAAATCTTAACATTTGTACATTAAAGAGAAGACAGGAGTAGCTGAGTTGCTAGTGTTGCAGATCTCTGTACAGTGATCTGTTGTTCAGTTCCCTGTGTCACTATCACCAGCACTTGCTTTCACTCATCCGTGACAGTGCTCACACTAACCTACACTGTGCTTACACCAACCCCATTGTTGTAGATTAAGAATCGACATCACAGCACTCTGTACATTCAAATAAGCGCGCTTTCCCCATCTTTAACAACCTGATTGTATATATGTCTTGCCCTTCCCTTGAGTGTTGAGTGTCGGTCAGATCCTCAGATCATCCTTCGCAGCACCATTCTCCTCAGACCTTGATGATCTTTTTGTGCCTTTGCACTGTTCACTTGCTCCTAATGGATCCTTATATCATCTAGCTTGTCATCTGTCAGTTCACCCCCTGAATGATGCAGGTTCAGCCAATCTGCCTGCCTGTTCATTTCCTAAAACACTGCCATACCCTTGAGACACTGTCTGAAGGATGCAAACCACCTAGGACCTTTGAAGCTATGCTTGAACTTGGCGATGTCCATTCGCTTTTGCTGCGAATAACAGTGCGCTTCTCCCACCTCTCAACAGAGAGCCATCTCTATAGATAATCGCATCACCTGGGTGGGAATTAGTGTGGACCATTTGTTGGAACTTCTGATTCTGCAGTGCTTCGCTGGCCAGTCACTGCACTTTCATCCAGTGTTGTTTGTGCTTTAGAATGCTTTCATCGGACCATGTTACTTGGGCCTCTAGTAATCCATTTTGATGGCGGTACTACATGTACTGAACACATGATGTTTATGTTCACCATGAAAGCTATTGATCACCTCTGGGCGGCCACTGTGGCCATTAAGAAGATAAGATTAACTTGTGTGATGTTACACTAGGAATTCCCCACTCCCAGAATCCACTGGTAGGGGAAATAACCATGACAAATTCTGTCCTCCCTGATGATCATCAGAGGTAAATATTCGTCACTGGTTTTGTGACAGCTTGAAATTGTGCTGCAGGTTTTTGACATTCATTGTCTGGTTTAGGAAGGGGGGGGGGGGTCTCTGCAAGGGGATAAATACTTGTTGTCAGTTTCAAGTGTTTCTGATGAAATATAAGTCCCCTGTGTGGGTTCCGGGGCCCCATTGTGGGGAAAACAAGAATAGACCCACTGTCTCCCCAAAAGCATGTTGTAAGAGTCAACTAATTGGGGAGCTTCCTTTGAAGATGGAGTGTGTCTGCCGGAGAGGCAAGGAACCAACAGTCTGTATTCAAGAGAATGAGATCTGTAAAACTGATGCACACGCAACACTCAGGTTTTGGAGCAGGACTGCAGTTCAGTAGTAGACGAGCAACCAGAACCTCCCGCCAGAGTTTACAGCTGGTGAACGCGAAGAAGAAGAAGAAGAAATATAAGTGGGGATGGGCGATATAGTGCAGATTAAACGTAACTTATTGATTTAAGTGGCTGATGTATATTAATGGTGATGTGGATGAATCTAACTGTGGCTTTGAGTGCTGGGTGCCATGACCGATTCAGAGTCCACGATCTAGTGAACTGTTGCAATTTTTTTTTTCCTGTGTGGGTTGCGGTGACCCTTTTGGGGAGGGGGGGGGGTGGATAACAGACCCACTGCTCCCCTCCCCAAAAGCATTTTGCAATTGCCGACTAATTGGTGGTGGTTCCTTCGAAGTTGAACTGCAACTGCCTGCAAGATGAGAAAGCAAGTCTGCCTACAAATAAGCCAGATCTGTAAAACGGATGTGCACGCCAAATTCTAAGAGTAGACGAAACAACCAGCTAGAGTTTACAACCGCTTACATTGTGAAGAACTGAAAAAACATTGTCAGGCA